CAATCAGTGACGAACAGTGTTCTGACGTCGCATTGTGGTGTCAGCTGGGGCCGCTTGGAACCACAACGAAGTAGGTACTAAAAAAAAGTGTCRGTTCCACGGATCTGGTCTAAGGGAAACGGCTTGGAAGCGTACCGAACCGTACCGACACTACACTAAGTGGCACTAGTGGAAAAGGGGCTTTATATCTGTTATCCAACCCCTAACACCATCATCCATCCATCACTGTGCATGAGGTGGGCTCACAAATCCATCACAGGGCCATACGGAAACTTGYATGTATTTCTACACATTCACGCACAAATTACGCATTCAAAAGTGTTTTGTTTACATTCAGCGCATACCTGCGTTTCACACGCACATCAGCACATCCAGAAAACTCCTGGAGTAAACTTAATTCATTCAGCTCAGAATCACCTTTTAATGAGCACCCCCCCCCCCCCCAAAAGGAAAAAGGTAAAATAAAATCCCAGTTTAAGGAAGTCTCACCTTCTGTGAGCCACGTCTCTTGAAGTTGGCTTAAATCCTGGAAGAGATCTGAGCAGAAGTGAAAAAGAAAAACTTGTCATTCCTCTGCATCATGTAAAGCAGCTCAAGTCTTTTTTTTTTTTTAGTTACCTTCAGATTCCTGAGGGGGTAATTCTGTGTCCACGAATTTCCTTTTTGCTGCCATCAACAGTCTATTTAGGGGCCCATTTCCCTGCGACTTCTGCAAAAACCATATTTGTTAAGAGGAGAGTCAGACTCCATCAGTGTCCAAACAATCCTGCATGGCAATTAGGGCTACTTATCCAGAAAATATGAACAAATAACGAATACAGTAAAGATACTGATTGATAAATTAGTGTGATGCTCGCAGAAAACCAGATTTTAGTCGTGGAGGAGAACTGAAGTGACCAGAAACCCGCCGATAAACAGCTTTAACTACATGCAGAGCGACCGGATTCAACTTTTAAATCATTTTTCATCTAGATTTATTTTTTATTTTTTTAGGAGGAGACATTTGGAGCGAGCTGAGAAACACTTTTCTCTCGCGCAGCTGCCGTTTTTCCAAACCCAACTCGTGCAGAATCCGCGACGCGCACACAAACAAAAAACCAGAAAGAAAGTGGGGGGTAAAAAAAAATACCAAAAACAAGACAAAAACTCGAACAAGTAGATCCATACGTACATTTGTTAAAGGGTAAGGCACTTGTTGGTCCAAATATCCGTCCATCTTATAATCCATCCGCTAAGCGCTCGTGCTCATTTGGGCTGAGTGGGTCCACGCACGCAGCCTGCAGAGGAGAGCCTGTTTGTGAATGGAGCTGCGTGCATAATGAGCTCCATTCACAAAAAACATCCCGACGGGAAGTGATTACCCAGCAGGCTGCGCTTCTGTCCAAACCTCACCTCTGATTTTTTTTTTCTGACAGGCCGAGCACCCCCCCCCCCACACACACACATTGACGTGTCGACTGATGGGGTTAATTCTAACTGTGTTTTTTTGAAATTTGCACACACGCTGCAAGTTTTAAATCAATGCAATGTTTTGAAGATGAACAAAGCTATCCAATAATGCTCACAGCACAAGTTGTGAACCAGTCTCAGCTACTACCACACCCATTTTCACTGCAATATTTGCAAAGGTGGTTGAGTTATAGCCATGTTTGTGCTTCCACAGGTCAGCTGGCTGTGTCGGCCATCTTACATCCGGTTCACTCCAAAAGATTAATCCTTTGTAGGTGTTCACCTAATGAGTATTTTCTGAAAGTTTCATTGAAATCCATCTTGTGGTTCCTGAGTTATTTTGCTAACAGACAGASATGGCTGAGTCTTGCGTTTCTTACCAACATTATAAACAAAGACCTTACACAATCCATTACTGTTCAGAGTATTTGTTGTGGATCAGCCTAAGTTATCATCACAGCAAGTTTTACTTTAATATAATTAAAATTGACTGAGGTACTGCAGATTTTGTGTTTGCTCAGTTTGCCTTACTGTGGCAGCCGTCTTGTATCCGGTTGACTCCAAACTTGATTCAGTTGTAGTTGTACACTGAGTGGTTATTTTCTGAAATTTTCATTGAAATTCTTTGAATGGTTCTTTAGATATTTTGCTAACAGACARACACAAGCAATGATCTTGCCACGTCAGGCTCACTTTAAACACTGTCAAGGAAAACAGTTTTGTTTATTTACTCATTCGAGTCAGGACAACAAAAACAGACTTTATCAAAAACTGGATGAACAGATTTACGGTCCAGTAAGAATATGGAGACTGGATCCAGTTCGAGCTGTTTGATTGGCCGTGTTCCTCCCACGAGCTCGGATTTCTCTCTTTTTTTGTCCAGGTTGAATTCACCGACTTCATGAATGAAGTCTCGCTCCTCCTCCCCCTGCCTTTAAGCCAATCAAAAAGCTTTTCAGCCGGGGCTCTTAGCAACGATGGGCGGGGCTTGTATCAAAGCAGCCAATCAGGTCTCAGCAAACTCTTGGCT